AAGTTGAAAATAGTGTGATTTCATGTCGTACCCTTATATGTTTAGATGTCTCTGTCGGTGAGACACTTGGGATTGGAATTTCGTTTTCTAATATTGAGATAAAACTATATATTATGGCAAAAACTTCATTAGTGAATATGGAGTTTGCTTTTTGTGAGTTATGTTATTGTATGGTTTTTATGTATTCTGAGAATACTTTTGAAATTTCTAAATCAAGGTCGTCTGTTTGAATTACATATTTGTGGTGATTCGGGTTTGGTGAGCTGAATTCTATGGTATAGATTCCGTATTGTTGTGTTAAATTACATATATCTTTCAGATAGTGATCAATAATTTGTCTTTTGATCTTTACATCTGGGAACTCTGCTTAAAATGGGCTGATTTCGGGTTCAAATAAAATTAGGAGTAAATTCTTGCAAAGTATATGCTGCCCTCTATCATTGGGTGCATCTACGAGGAAGGGGTAGATATCGTCATCATCTGGACTATCTTCACTTGGGGTGTGTGTTTGGCTTATTTTTTCGTTTAATGACTGTTAATAGGTAATTATCGATATGTCTAATTGGTTGATTCCAATTATATAAATGTACTGGTTTGTGTTTATATTGCTTTTTTATTCTTCTTTTTCCTCTTTTTGATGAGAATTTGAAGTTGTTTCTGAGTCGGAAAAATATAATTGATCGTGAATGGGGCAATTTTTATCTATAGATTCTTTTAATTTATAAAGTTCGTCTAGATTGCTGGCTTCTGATTCTGAAAATGCGTTTCTATTTTTGGAAAATCTTTTTCGTGTTATTTGTCTTTGTTTGTTTATGATTTTCCTTTTTAGTGTTTGTCGTTTTGTTCTAATATATCCAACTGTTTGTGTATGAGGTGTGATTACAAGGTCGTATTTTTTGTTATCTATTTCACAGTTGTGTAAAACGATTGTTTGTTTATTTCCTAGATTTTTAAATGACATAAGGTTTAGGATGACGGATGCAAAAAGTTGTTAGATGATTTCTATTTTCTTAAATTGTTAGTCCTTACGATTTTTTGGTTAGCTTAACCTGGGTCTATTTGTTCAGGGTTGGAGAGAAAAGTATATCGATTCCAAAGAATGATTTTTTACTTTCTCGTGGCTAATATAAGCTAAGGTGTTAACTTACTTAATCTTACTTAGGGGTAATGATTGTGTTCAAGGGTTGGAGAATAGTAAATCGATCCACAAGGTTCAGGTATAATTAGAACGCGAGTAGTTCGTTAGATACTATTTTAAACTTACTAAGTCTATGAGGAGGGTTCAAGTGAAGGATGAATAACCGAAGTTCTTCACTGTTTATCCTAATTTGAATGATTAGTGTTGTTCAAAAATTTCTATTAGTCTTGGGTTTTTTGAAAGGGTTGGATAGTGAATCGACGTTTGAGGTCGTTAGACACTAGCTAAGTGGGTGGGGGAGAACAAAATTGTTGTTTTTGATCCAAAGATAGGCCTTGATGATCAAGTTTAAATTTAATTAAATAGAAAATGAATTAAGATCGAAGGATAAGCCTTGATGATCTGATTTTAAGATTAAGTGAATATAAGTTTAAAATGGTTTATATTTATTTAAGAAAAGATTTAGTGTTTTAATGATATTAGTGAGCTTATGATTGCTGTTATGTTTTAGGTGATGAAGCTGGGACAACTGATGATTTTATAATTACTAACAGTTTATTGTCATGCTACTAATTTTTATTTTGATTTTCAATAAATATTTTTCAAACATGTTTTATATAATACTGCAGAATTTTAGGAAAACGATCTGAGATCTTTTTATCAATCGTTATTGTATATTAATAGTTTTGTTTAGCGCCTGGAATGATTATGAAGGTTGACTTCAAGATTTTATGTTTGTAAATGAAAATCTAAATTCATTGCTAATAAAATTCTAAATATAAAAGTCTGTGTTGGCTTTTGCCGTACTATCATATAACTATTTGGTAAGTTTCTACTTTGTCGTATGTCATCTCTGGTTCGAGGTCTTCTTGCAATTCCGGGTAGTTCTGTTATCATTCGGAATATTGGCTCTGATCTATTGAGTCGTAGAGACATTTCGATTAAATTATCGTCGTATAACATTTTAAAAATGTTTTGTCTAAATTCTAATCTAGTTTTGGTTAATTCTAAGCTATTAAGGTCTTGTTCGAGACTTATGGTCGCATGATTGGTTAATATTAAATACTTTACAGTGGTAAAATATCTAATTTATCCAATCATAAAATGTAGTTTAGATCAGGTTCCACTATCCTTGCACAAAGACATGATATCAGAGGATTTGAATAATTTCCATGATAATAAGTCCTTCTTATATTGGTTCAGAAAAAACTTTGTGTACTTTTTCTGATGTCAAAAAAATACATTTCCGAAAAAAGGTTTAATTATATGGGGCTCTTTTAGCAAAAAAAAAACTTTTCTAAAAGCACTTTTGTTTGCGTATTGGCTGTTGTATAAAACGGTGTGAACAAATTTTTTTGTTCTCTCATCCAAATAGAGTTTTGCTGTTGGTAAATTGAGCCCAACTTTAGTAAACAGGAAAGCAGACTTTTGACATTCTAGAAATTGGCGAATAGATAATGATGATGTGTAATTAGGCAACAAAAGGCAGATAAAAAATCGTGATGCGTAATATCACAGTTTACCGTTTTCTATCCGGATACACTAAACAAAAGAGGTCATAACACTGTGTCGTTAGTGACTCCTCTTACGACTGTGAATCAATCTTATTCTCATTTAATTGAGGCAACTTATGACGTCTGTTTAACTGTTAGCTCTTGATAAGGTTTTAAAACAGTTAAATCCAAGCCTAAGTACTCTATTTTGTTCTAGCAGAAAATTATTATAATTTCAGTTCAGAGCTTTAGATAGTAAATGAAGAATACCCGCAATGAGCGTCTGATTATTGACTTGTGTTCTGATTGTTTTTGTCAATAATATCAGAGTGGTAGAAAATTTTCTCGAAATCCAAATTGATGTTCGTTCATCAAACGGAATCTATCAAGGTACTCGATCAATTGACGTTGAAAAATATCTTCAACATTTTTTGCCAGTTGAGGAGTAACAGATAATGGTCGGTACTTTGTTGCAGATTCGGTATATCTTTTTTTTTAACAATAAATTTTATGCTGGCCACCAGTATCTATCCGGAAATGTATTGAGAGCGAGTTAATCACTAAATATTTTGGTCACTGGAGATGTTTCATTGGCCGCATTATGTAATACCTATCCTATAAATACAAAACAGACACTTAGATACATCAATTCAATAACCCATATTCGGGACTATCCTTCACATGTATTTTTGAATAGTTTTTTCCAAACCCTTTTCTCCCCTTGTTCTTTTAGAACCAACTTCACATCAAAATCCTTCCCTTCGAACAGAACAACAAGATTTATTAGTTACACATAATGATTGTGAAGAAAATGAACAAAAAACACTACATAAATACGCCATTAATTAACTAACTCTTGGAAGGACTCAAGATCCTAATCATTCATCGTAGATTCAATTGTTTTGATCGAGCGAAATCAATTGTTGGATATCCTTTTTTAGTTACTATTGCTATACTGAGGGCGATTTTTTGCATAACTAAATTTAGATCACAAAAAATTTAGATTTAGATATCTTTTTTTTCTTTAACTACATAAGTTTTTCAACAGACCAAGCCATTGGTTTAACTGCCAAATAAGATATTGGGCTGTTTTTAACGGCAATTTTTACCGTTTTTCACTATTTTTGTTGTTTCAACCACTGAAAGTGGGGAAGATTTTGTCTTCAGGTATATTTTCTTTTTTTGTTACCGTATAAAATCAGAAACCACGCAATCATATCGGAATGAGTCAAAAAATGACCATTTTAGTCGTGATTTGAACAACTTTGAAAGTTTTTCCAAGTTTTTTGTGTAGTCGATTTAATTTTTTTGTGTTTTATCTTTGTTTCGTGCGAGTAATTTGAGCGATTACGTCTTATAGAACCAAATTTTTCGTTCAAAAACAAAAGACTGATTTTTACTAAAAAAATAATGGGGGAAATTTTTTTGCGCTTCCTTGAACTTAAGCGATCTGTAGAAAAATCAAAAAAAAATCTGCAAAAAAGTAAATGAAAACTGAACTAACATTTTAGATTTTTTTTTTTGGTTTTTTCTTGTTATTTTTTTTGAATGCAACTTTTGTCAATTTTGTATCTTTTTAAATGTCTTGCATTTCAATAGACTCGCCTTTGACAAAATAATAGCACAAATGCTTGGAAAGTTATTAGGCGGACTTTCTTTTTTAAAAAAATACTTCTTAAATTATGACTTAAAATTTAGGTAACATGAAAGCAGAATCGCACTCTGGCATTTATTTACGGCTGAAAATCTAAACATGACGCCAGCAAGTTTTCGTGGTTCATTAGTTTCCAATTGGAACTGAGATGCAATGGGCGTTTTTAGACCCGCATTGATTTCATCATTTTTCGCTGGTATTATTTTGACTGTCTAATCTAATTTTAGGTTGATTCTTTATAATTCCAAACACGCCTTATATGTATCTCTAGCCTTTATTTCTAGTCAACTGCAAATTTAGGTCAGTTCTAATTGAAGTATTCTCTTTTAGAAATTTTAGCCTTATTTTTACCGGAAGCACTCTTTGATATTCTTTGAAACAACCAAAATCGGGAAAAAAACTGATCGCATTGTTTTGATTTGTATCTGTAAGCTATCCAGTTTTTGAGTGTTGCTTCAATTCAACGCCACTTAAAAGGTGTATGGTTAAAAAGGCATGAAACGAAGTTTTATTAATGACCGATTAATTTTGTTAAAGGTTTGCGGTTTTGCAAATTAGAGTATTGACTACCATTGAACTATTTATGGTGACACGGTCTTTAGTTTCGGTCTTTAGTTTCAAATAGTTTGCCAAGTTACGGACTCATAATTTTCTAATTATGCCCACTAGGTAAAATTTAACCACCTGAAAGTAATCTAAGTATTATTACTTGAACTGAATTGGACATATGAAAGCTGAAGATCGTAAAACCAAAATTGGACTTGCGGAAAATTATTTAGTGTTAAGAACTCTCGAATTTACTCAAACTTTCAAGTTTCAAAAGTTCATTCAAAAGTTAACCCATATGCAGCGTCTTTAATTTTTGAGTGCTTTGAAAAGAAGAATCTATTTTTAGTATTAGTGAATCCTAAATTTTCTCGGAGTTTCGACAAAGCAAACTTTCGGATGAACAAAACCAGGAACACTTTTTGACATTTAGCCAAACAGACCCATGTAAGATGCTTAACTTTGTGTAAACTTTGATTCTGCTTTGAAATGAGCTCATCTTACAGCAAATATTAGCTTTGTCAAAACAGGGCGCACGAGATATCAAGTATCAAAAATGAGCCCTAAATTACTCTTGTGAGCGACAGTAAATGTACGTCTACTCAGTGTTTGAACTTCAAGATATCATCAGAGAAGAATTAAAGCTCAGTATGTTTATGAATAATTTTTGCAGTACTCTCTTACCAAGTGATCTGCCCGTATTGACCTCCATAGACCGAAAATGCTAATCATACAATTCCATAAACTAAGTCTATGAAAAGTGTATGTCTAGCAGTTTTCCTTACATGAAAATTGCATGATTAGCATTTTTGGTCAGCCCGGGTGACTTGTGCCTCTGTTTTCCAAAAAAATTCTGGTTTTCCGACTTTTTCGGTGTTTTTTTTCTCAAGTTTTAGGGACCCAAAAGTCATATTCTACCTTGAAGGAAGCTGAGTTTTCACTTTTGTATTTAATTGAACAATTTCAAAGCTTAAAAATTTGTTTTGTTTTTTGATTACCCCAGACATCCGGCTCATCAAGTAATCTATTCCTCATAAGTCCGTCACCTTTCAGTTAAGTTTGAATATAAATATTCATTTTATAACATTCTGATGATTCACGTTTCCTTATTAGTTATATATCAGTCTGATTATGTGCCGAGAATCTTAACTCTAGCCAGGTGAGTTTTTTCATTTTACAGATTATTCGAAGCTTTGTAATATTGTATTACTCAGAGCATCTGGACACTTTGAAAAGCTGTTCAATTTTTCATCATGGAGCTACTCAATTAGCTGTTAGTGAATTCTTAGAAATTGAGAAAAAATCTCAATCTTTTGACACCGATACGGGTTAGTACTGTCGCATCTATTGGCGGCGGGATGAATGTTTCATCTTAGCACACTAAGAGTTGCCTAGTATAATTAATCAAAAATTCAAAAATGATATAACAGTAGTTAAAGTACTCCAAACTCTGTGTCGCTCAAATAAGTGAACACGACCACGAGCTATAAGAAGATGTAAAAAAGTTTTCGGCTAGTTCAGAAGATGGGAAGGTGCTATGACGTATGATGTGTAATTTTCGACCGATATATTATCTAATGACACTTCTATTCAGTATTTGAGCTGCAGTGTTGTCTCAGAAAGTATGAGTCTTCAGTCTTGCAATTTAAAAATGTTCTTTATAATTTCACCACGTGGCTTGTCTTGTTCATGTCATTTCTCGTGGTCAAAGTAAAATCAAAAATTTTTAAATTGAAAAACTGAAGTTTCAAACTTTCTATGGTAATATCTTCAGGTCAAGTACTTAATAGAATTGTATACTTACAGTCTGTGTAAAGTTCATCATTGTTTTCTTTGAACACACCTAAGCTTTCTTTTTCCATTCTTAGTAAAAACAAGACTACTCGTATCAGGGCGAAGCCCTGAATGTTCTGACTGCCTTTTAGGAATTATGGAGCAGTATTAACTTAACAAAATTAAATGTAAAATACAAAAAAAAAACGAAAAAAGAAAATTCTTAAATTTGAATTTTTTAATGAAAATCATCCCCCCACACGCCGTATAAAGTACAAAAGAATAGATTTCACTCCTTGTAACAAATCAATTGTGGCAAATAATTCAACCAGCTTCATTCAACCAACTTGGAACGATTTCTTTGACGGATTAAATCTCCGCTTACGCGGTAATAGCGCGAAATACATCGCGCTTTAATTGTCCCAAATTGGCCAAAATGACAATCTTTAAACACCCATTAAACTTTACAAAAAATGATCACAGGTGAAATATCTTTTCAAATTTAAGCTCAAGACAACAATACTTTTCGAACGATAAAAAATTTTTTGTCAAAAATGGCTAGTTAAAAAGTCGAAATTTGTCTGAAGAAAAAAAAACCCAATCGAAAAAAAAACCCAACCCGTTCGATGCGAAAGTAACGGAATATTTGTGCTCGGGTTGGGTTTTTTTTCTTCAGACAAATTTCGACTTTTTAACTAGCCATTTGTGACGGAATTTTTTACATCATTCAAAAGGTATTGTTGTCCTGAGCTTAAATTTGAAAAGATATTTCACCTGTGATCATTTTTCGTAAAGTTATGAGAGTTTAAAATTGCCATTTCGGCCATTTTGACCAATTTGGGACAATTAACGCGCGATATAATTCGCGCTATTAACGCCTAAGCGGAGATTTAATCCGTCTTATAAATCGTTCCAAATTTGTTGAACTAAGCTAATTTGCCATAACTGATTTGTTACAAGGAACGAAATCTATCCTTTTGTACTTTATATGGCGTGTGGGGGGATAATTTTCATTAAAAAAAATTCAAATTTTAGAAAAAAATTTTCATTTTACTTTATTTAATTTAATTTTTTTTATGTTTTTACTGCTCCATTAACCTTAAGGCAGTCGGAACATTCAGTACTTTGCCCTGATACGAGCAGTCTTGTTTATTCCTATGCGTTTTAAGCGATTTATATGTAAGTTTTTAGAAAACAAGAGGTCAAGATCAAAGCCGAATGACATAATTGTTCAACTAACAGCCTGTCTTTACATGCTGAAACGAAATCTTTTTTAAAGTCCTCATAAAACACAATAGTTGAAGCACTAAGTTCATGTTCTTCCCAAGTTTTATCACAGAAGCTCAACAGCTGAGTTAAAGTTGACCGCCGGGACATGAATACAAATTGTGAACTTGAAGCTCTATGTCTGACTCCAATTGAAAACGATAACTTAGAAATAAATTCTAAGCAGTAACTTTGTTAACGATTTTTTGAACTGTAATTATTAAGATCGCTATGATTGATTTTCTTGTGGATGGGCGTAAAATAGTCACTATATTTAAGAAGATAGAAGACGAAGGATACCCAATACAAAGTGCCAGGAAATGAGGACTTGTTGGAATTACTCCGGAGAACCTCAAAAAGGTTGCTTAAATCCAAACCTATCAACAAATTGAGAAAAAGAATTCTACCAAGCTCTAAGCTTTCATTAAGTTGTAGAATCAGAGAGCTATGA